AATGATTGGCCCACTGGTGTTAAGAGAAGGACCCTGGAGGCAGGCTACCTAGATTCAAATGCTGGCCAAGCCATGTATTCGTTGTGTGACTTTGGGCAAGTTACTTAATTTCATTCTGACTCATTCACCTCATCTGTGCAAGGAGACAATGAAAGTACCTGCCTCATGAGATTATTAGGGGGAACAAATGAATTATTTTAAGTAGGGTGCTTACAACACAGTAAGAGCTTTATAAAACTTATTTGGTGTGAAAGGAAGTTCAGGGAGATCATATGGATTAACCAACAGGCTTGGGTGGGCTGGGACACAACAAAATGTGTCTAGCCCCTCAATGCAGGCACAGGCAGTTTTCTCACAGGTAAAATTAGGTTAAAATGAAGCTCAAGATGAGAAAGGGGCAAAGACACAAATGGGCAGCCTTGGTGGGGTGCTCAGAGAGGGTGGCAGCTCCTCAGTGATGATACAGGATATAGGGCCAGGTGGACTGATTTTCTGGACACAAGGAGCAGCCTCCTTTAGATCCTCTAGTCTCCTTTCGGTGGGGCTCAGAGAGGGCTAGGGACACTACTCTGATTTATCACAGCCCAGAGATACTCTGGTTAGCGTTTTCTTCTTCTTCTTATTGTTGTTGTTGTTATTGTTATTATTATTGTCATTGGTATTTTCCTGGTTAGTATTTACTCAGGTAAATATTCTAAAGGGAACATATTGGATTCTTTTAACTCTCTACCCTATTGAATCATACAGACTGTTCCTAGAATCACCTGGAAATTGCACCTAGGACAGGTCATTGAATTGGAGGTAATTGAATTAGGTAGATGGGCAGTTTGGGCTCGGGAGAGCAAGAAGGTGAGAATGGGTTTCATATTCCAATGAGAGCCATTTGCTCTGGAGCTTAAATATTCCCTGACACCTGGGTGGGGCTCAGCGAATGCTTGTAGAGTGAATCAATGGGTGCATGCATGCACAGGTGACCCCTTTATAACTGAGTCACTTTGTTTTTCAAATCATGAAGGCAGGGACCAGTATTCTGATTTATTCTCTCTCCCGTTGCCCTAGCAGGATCCTGGACTTGAAATAGAACCTCAGTAAATATATTGTAGACTTAAACTGAGTGATGCACAGTGAGAGTGACACCATTATCCAAAATTCCCCTGTAAGATACCCTGAGGATCCTGCTTATGTCCTGACTCCTTTATGCCTAGAGAAGACCAAAGAGAAAGTGAAATAGCCTGAGCCATGGAACTTCACTTGTAGCTATCTAGGTGACTTCAGCCAGTCACTTTATTTTTACCATCAGTTCTATCATCAGCAAAAAAAGGGACTGGAACAAGATGATTCCTTTTCAGAGGCCAGTCTTGGCCTTGACACAGGGCTCAGGGGTCAGAGCGGGGATCTGCTGGGACCCTTTCTCTGCCATGGATTAACTGTTTGATCGGCAAAGGCACGTAGCCTGTCACAGGCGCCACAATCTGTCAGGGTTGTCTATACACCCTCAGGTTTGAAATTGCCGAGAATGTACCTCAGGGTCAAGGACAATGGAAAGGCATAGGCTTTCCCTGACTGTTAACTAACTGCAGAACTTGGGCAAGTTGTTAACCTCTCCAGACCTCAGTTTTGTCACCTCTAAAATGGGTATAATCGTTACACTTACCTCACCAGTTGTGAGGATTAAAAGATACTATGTTGTTAATACATTTGCCCAATGACTGGTAATAGTAGTATAATTTCATTATTATATCATACAAACTGCGGAAACTCTTTAACTCTCTTCAGCCTAGTCTAGATCGGGCTTCGCTTACCCTCTATTCGTCTGTGTGTCTGTCTGTTATAAATACAGTATCTCCTTCACTTCCTAGGTTCAGGGTTTTGAATAGTCAAGCAGTGTCATTAATCGATATTGCGTCTATGTTTACCCACAGTTCTCAGGTTTTCATCCCAAATCCTATTACTTACTGTGCTATGGAAGATAGTTTGGTAGGTGGGACAGGTGGGAGATATGTCTCTCTAACACTCTCATTCTTGGGGAATAGTATAGTATTTTTCCTAATAGTTGGACATAGGAAAATACTATTATATGCATGCATACAGTAGTTGATAGACTTTCTGAATCAGCAGGTACAAACAGACGTTTCTCTGAGGGACTGAACCTTGAGTCTGATTTCTCTGGGTATCCAAAAGATTGATCTTCATTTCTGAAATATTTCCTCCACCACACATGCCTTGCTGAGGAACCTGAGGACATTAGGTGCCCTGTGTTTTGGACCAAGGGAGGTCTTGTCCTGGCAGATTCTTCATGCTTTGAAAGATTCAGAAGAGATAGAAGATTTGGTCCCTGCCCCAAGGAGCAAACGATTTGGCTGGGGAGACAAGATGTGCATAAACCAAAAAACTTGAGACAGATGTATTTCAAATACATTTTAAAAATAAGAAATCAAGCTCCCATTTCGAGATTTCAAGGTGGTTAATACTGAGTGTCCAAGGACAACATCACAGAGGAGATAGGGGCTGAGTGCACCTTGAAGAAAGGAAAGATTGGAATTAGCAAACGAGAGTGGCCGAGGCCTTCAGGGTCCTAGGATAACCAGGGTGTGGCCCTGGAGGCAGACAGAGATGGGGGTGCCATGGGAGGGACAGAGAGGGAAGAGGAAGGGGCCCTCCTGCTATGGTGGGGGCAGTGAGATCCAAATGTGCCATATTGTGAGGAGGCAAATGCAGGGCTTCTGTAAGGGGTGGGGGAGGCAGAGGAAGGAAGCAGCGCTCCTAGAGCAGTATGGAGGCCTGAGATGGCAGGTGGGGAGGCTGAGGCAGCTCCCCCTCACAACCACCCCGTGAAGGTGGTGACTGTAAGGCCAGAGAGTCTCTTCTGCCCCAGATTAACTGTTTAATTGGCAGAGGCATGAACCCTGGCTTTGTGGGGGGAAATCAGGGTTTTAATTGTAGAATACTGAGATTGTTGGCTGTAGATCTTGAATCTTCCATGTTTGGGGATTATCATTAGCATGTGTATGAGTTTCCTGCGGCTGCTGTCATAAATGACCACAAATTTAGTGGCTTAAGACAATAGAAATTTATTCTCACACTGTCTCTCGAGGCTGCAGGTCTGAAATCAAGGTGTGGGGAGGGTGTGCTCCCTCTGGAGGCTCTTGGGGAAGAATCTGTTCTTTGCCTCTTCCAGCTTCTGGTTGCTGGTGTCCTTGGCTTGTAGCTGCACCACTTCTGTCTTTGCCTGTCTTTACATTGCCTTCTCCTCTGTGGACCCTCTCTGCTGTCTTTTATAAGGATACTTGTCATTGGATTTAGGGCCATCCGAGGTCATCTAGGGAGATCTCATCCCAAGACCCATGACTCAATTACATCTGCAAGAACCCTTTGTCCAAATAAGTGACATTCACAGGTTCCAGGGATTAGGGTGCAGACATATCTTTTGGGGGCCACCATTCAGCCCATTAGAACCTGTTTTCCAAGGAGAGAGCATGAAGGAGGGAGACAGAGTGCCCCCAAGGGGAAAAGAAGCCATGAGGCATGGCTGGGTCCTTTGGTAGAGAGGCATCATTCGCTTCAACTATGGCCTGTCACGTGACGACTCTTACCCATCAAATGCTACCTGAGTAGGCACATGTGCTGATATAATAATGATAATAATATGTATTATTTCCTTTTAGCTTCACAGCCAGGGTATGAGGAAGGCTTTATCCTCATACTTTGATAAGGAAACAGGAGCAGAGGTGCCTGAGAACAAAGGGCTCTCAGCGACATTCAGGGGAGCTGCTCTGAGCCACTTCATCCCCTTCCAGTCGTGGGCTCTCCCACTACACTTGTCTGCATTCTTCAACTTTTATTGTCCCCAGTGCTCGCTCTCTCTGGCTGTCATTCATTCTTAATACAAACAGATGTTCCTTGTGGCAGCATCTTGATAGGTTGGTGTAGGTGGCTGAGCAACAACCATGGAACCGAAGTGCTTCACTCTCTTTCAAGATGAGGCGCACCTGTGAGTTAAAGCTCACGTTAAGCTGGCAGCTGAGCAGGGAGGTTCAGTTCACTGATTTCAGAGCGAAGCTGCCTGTGTCGGAGTCCTGGCTGTGCCTCTGACCTGCTGTGTGACCCTGCACTAGTCATTTCAGTTCTTTGTGCCTTGGTTCCCTCATCTGTGAATGGGGCCCACAATAGTACTTATGTTGGGTGTTTTTAGTGAGGATTAAATGCATATGTGCATGTGTGTAAATATATATTTTGGCCGGGCATGGCTCAGAGGTTGAGCGTCGACCTGGGATCCAGGCGATCAGGGTTCGATTCCCGGTCGGGGAACATGCCTGGGTTGTGGGCTCAATCAATGACTCTCTCATCATTGATGTTTCTGTCTCTCTCTCTCCCTCTCCCTTCCTCTCTCTGAAATCAATAAAGATATAAAAAAAAATTAAAAACAAAAACAAAAACAAAAATATATATATATATTTTGTGTAAAGTGCTGATAATGGTTATTAGTGCACAGTAAGTGCTATGTGCTATTTACTTAAAAACCAAACCCACAAAATAGCAGCGGAGAGCACTTGTTCGGTTCCCTTGGTGCCTGCATCTGTGACTCACTGGGGCCAGGGGGTTAAGTGATATAGGCTCCTTAGTAAGGACATAGAGCCCTTGGAAATAGTGAAGCAGTAAGATACCAGGCTATGCTGAGCATTCAGCTTCGAATGGAGTCCCCTCTCCAGTACTGGTGCTGCATGGGTCCTAGCCAAGAATGTTTGCTCATAAAAATACCCAACGGAAGGGAGGCTGGGCTTGAAGGCAGCCTCACATTACAAACCCCAGAGCAGTCTGGCCAGGGGTTCTGGGAACTTGTACCACACTCGGGTGCTATGGTGGTGGGCACCAGGCTGTCATAACTGGAGGGTGCGAGGCTGCCACCATGACCTTGGCCCTTTTTCGCAGCGCTGGGCTTGAGTGGGATCATGAGGTTGTTACCACACAACACACTCACAGCCTGTTGTTTCTCCTCACAGGGTGATGCTGCCACCAGCTTTCTCAGGGCAGCAAGATCAGGTAACTTGGACAAAGCTTTGGATTACCTGCAGAATGGGGTAGACATTAACACCTGTAACCAGGTAAGTGGGATGGGGACAGGCATGTGGGCTCTGAAGAGTGGTTCTTGCCTGATGCCACTCCCTGAGAGTTTTAATCTGCTTCTATTAACCTTTTCCCAGTGGCCTCAAAAATCCCCAAGGGCTTCCACCTGCTGAAGGCCCTCGCCTTGCTGCTCACATCCCTGCCCTGGTCCAGGGCCCCACGGAGAAGGGCTGATGCCTGAACAGTGGGGGCTGGCCCACCTCCATCCCCTGCCATCTCTTCCCTTAGAAGTTGCCATTGGTCCCTGCTGTGGTCTTAGAACATGTGGCCTTTGAAAGTGGGCAGGAGGAAGGGCTTTGAAGGATGTTGTGTCAGTGGTGACATTACATCTCCTTTGTCAGCCAGCAGCCTTTGAGGATTCTCTGCAGGCTGAGAAGGAAGTAGTGATGAGGACTTGCTCACAGGCTTTGACAAAGGCGAGTCTCACTCGGGTTGAGAACCAGTGTGGCTTAAACGGCTTCTCTGGAGGTTTTTGCTGCTGAGTCCCAGAGACTTGGCTTCTGGAAGACGTGGTAAGGAAACTGGATGTATACCAGACTGATTGGAGGGCAGAATCAGTCTGGTGATGGAATAGAGAGGAAATTACCCCCTAGAAGGAGAACAGGGCGCAGCTTGGGCTTGTGAATTAGATGACTTCTGTTTGTTTTTGCCAGCTGATTAAGTTGTTCAGACGCACATGCTAATTCAATTTCTAATTTAGAATAAATTTACTCCTTGTGACTTTTTTTTTTTTACCATTTAAGAATTGTTTTAAATTGTGCTGAAATATACATAACATAGAATTCATCATCTTAACCGCTTTTAAGTGTACAGTTCAGTGGCATTAAGTACATTCATATTGTGGTACAACCATCATCACCCTCCATCCACAGAACCTTTTTCATCTTGCAAAACTGAACCTCTGCACCCATTAAGCAATAATGCCCCATTCCTGCCTCCCCCAGCCGCTGGCAACCAGTCTACTGTCTGGCTATGAATTTGACTCCTCTAAGCATCTCATGTAAGTGGAATCATACAGTATTTGTCCTTGTGCGACTGGCTTATTTCATGTAGCATAATGTCCTCCAGGTCTGTCTGTGTTGCAGTGGGCTGGATGACTTTTACGGACCAGCAGGGGAAAATTCCCTGGACACAGGTTAACTTTTCCTCTGGCAATGGGCCTCTGTCCTACTCCCCCACCTTCTTGCTTAAAATGCGAAATACCACTTGCTCTCTCTCCCAGGGCCAAGATCCCATTTGGATTCAGTTGGTCTTCTGTGGAGTAAATTCACAGCTAAAAGATCAGAGGGAATTGCGTGGGTGGCATGTGATGGGAAACAGAAGTAGGTTTGTGATATGAGGCAGACTCTGGTAGCAGTGAACTTCAGAGGGGAGGCGAAGCATTTTGACTGGACTCAGGTGGAAAACTGGATGAGGAGGAGTGAGCCCCTCTCTTCTTTCCTCTCTCTTGCAAATATATCAACACGGACCTGAGAACACTTCTCACCAAACATGCAAAGTGAAAGGTTGGCCTTTGGATAGCAGATTGAAACTCTGAGCCCATTTCTTTCGTGGAAAGAGGCAGTGGGAGCTAAGTATGGGTGCAGAGAGTGAGAGTCCTGGAGTGGCTCAGCACCCCAGAAACAATTGTAGGTCATGCTCTCCCCAGCATCCCCACCACCAGAGGAGGGAATTGTTCTCTCTCTTCACGGGGATGCATTCCTGGTGAGAGAGGCCAGTCCTGAGGCTTCTTCTGTTCAGGTCGGGGCTGCAGAAACTCAGATGTGTTCTTCTCACAGTGCAGTTTCCAGTTGGGGAGCTCCAAACCTCCAGAGGCCTTCCAAGGGTTAAGATGCTAGCTCTCAAAGGAATCCATTTAGCAGATATGGGGACAGCTGGGCGTTCGTAAGCCTTGAGCCAGGGCTCGTCTTCAGTGTGAAATTGGAAGATTTTGATGACACCCGGGGAATGGCTTTGTCTTGATTGGCTTCCTATCAGTGAGGCCCTGGGCGTAACTAGCTTGTCCCTCTGCCTCTCTCCTCTGTTGTCTCAGGGCTTGGAGAGCAGCGGGCAACCAGGCATTATTTGCACTTTATTGACACTACTTCCTATCGATCGATCGGCTCGGTGCCAGTGACAGGTGGCGCTTGGCCCTGCTAGAGGCAGAGGGGAGGCTCCTGCCTCAGACTAGAGACTGCAGTCCTGGCTCAGACCAGCCTCTCCCTTTCAAAAGAGCAGACTGCTGCTAGCAAGGCAATGAGTGTCAGAACAGAGTAAAAGGAAGGATTTGCCATAGTGTAAAGCCCCTTGCTGCTGGTTTAGTCCTGGCTCCCCAGATCTTGGGCCCTGATGGTATTTGTCTTGTGTTCCCTGACTGTGCAGGGGCAGGGAGCTGCGGACAGCTGCCCCTGGGGCTGCCAGCATTGCCCAAGCCTCATTCTGGTTTTATAGGGCATTATGGCTTTTGCTCTTGAGTAGAGAGTATGGGTAATGGGGAAGGACTATAGTATCTGAACTTATGTCCTCATTAAGCACATTAGTGCACCCATCGGGACAATGCTGCTGCCTCCTAACGTGCACAGGGCTAGGCTGTAATGGCACTAGAGCCTTTTTCTCCTTAAAAACATTCACTCGTTGTTTTGAGAAGATAAAGACAGGCTCTTGTCCTGGGGTCATGGCTTGAATCTTTTGAGCTGATGGACCGTGAGAGCAGTAATACAGCAAATGCTGATTCTTATGTAAGTAACACACTTTCAAATAGTATGTTTTGTGGAAAGATTACGTGCTGCTTGCCATATTAGGAAGTAATTACTCTAAGTAGTGTGAAAAGAGGAACTCTTGGCTTATATAAGAGACATCTGAGTATTCAGGGCAGTTTCCTTACTGCATAGAGTGTGTCTACTCATTTTTATGATCATCATCATTATTATATTTAGAGAAAAGAACAAATTCACACATAAGGACACATGCATGCATTAAGACCTTTATATGAATGCTGGAGTCTTTCATTTATTCCAGCATTGCTCACACTTTAGACACATGTATTTAGCCAATGTCTTCCTGTACCTCTCCACATATGTAGAGTGCTGAGCTTTAGGGATTTCATAGGAAAAAAAAAAAAAAAGGCCCTGTCCTCATCTTCTCTGAACTGTAGTCCACTGGTAATGAGAGCTGTCAATCAAATAGCCACATAAATAGATATGCAAACCACAGTATGTTAGGGACTGTGAAAGAAGGGCATAGGATTTTATGAGAATATATGAGAGATTTGACCTAGAGTTGAAGGTCAGAGAAGGCTACTGTGTGGAAGAGATAGTTGAGCTAAAGGATAAGTAGGGGTGAATGAGGTGAAGAACATTCCAGTCGTAGGGAACAGGCTGTGCAAAGTCCCTGAGGCAGGGAAAAGCTTGGAGAGTTTAAGGAAGGCCAGAGTGGCTGCAGTGCAGAGGGCGCGCAGGACCAGGTAAGGCTGGAGAAGTGCCGTGGGGATTGTGCCGGACCTTATAGGCAGGGGCAATAGTCACAATAGTCTGCAGCTGAGACAGTGTGCCCCAGGGCCTGAGCAGAGTGTGTGTGCATGTTTGTGAACACTGTGTGAACAAGGGTATGTTTGCCTGCTGTCCAAGTGTTAATCCTATAGTTGCTGATTGAGAGGAGAGATCTGTGGGAGGGGACGGAGTAGCCAGAGCAGCAGCAGTGGGGGTTACCTGAGAGCTTGAGGCAATGACTGTTGACCAAGAGGGATGGAGGCATTTCAGCATTTAACAACCTACACAGCTGCGTCAGCATGTCTTGGTAGAATACCCACCCTGCTTACAGAAGATGTTCACAGTTCTGATCTTCCTAAGAGCAGAAGGAAGCGAACCACAGATTCAGGTGCAGGAATGATGTGATCAGAGGTGGCTATTGTGTAGAAGACACATGGAAGGGCCCAGAGGTGGATATGGGGGAGCCAGTGATAGGACTCTTACACTGGTCTGGGAGAGAAATGTCAGTAGCTTGGATAAAGATTGTGGATGTGGAGATGGAACAAGGTGAACAGGCTTCGGTGAGGAATTGGATGGGGGAGGGCAGGGAAGGAACGGGTGAGAGTGACTTTGGATGTCTGGCTTATTCAGAAGTGGAAGCACCATTCACTGAGACAAGGAACACTGGTGGGGG